GTAAGATTTAGATATAAAAAGAGCAGGCTCACTCATATATCGAATTCCACTTGTCAAGGGTACTTTTACGCCAACGTGTAGACGAGACCTCGGTTTCTCGCCCCATCCGAACGACTAGACACGATTGATTGTCAGCCCCCCCCCCCCCACTCACGTCTTGTTTCACTGGCAGGAAAATCGAACCCGTTACTTCCTGGTTATTGAGATACTGTTGCTCCCTTGGCAGAATTACATTCCAGTGTCACGGCGTTGACAAAAATGAAACGGGGTTTCACATCCTACGTTTATGCTCCGACTGGGCTAATGACGACTGGAGGGATCGACTGAATTGAGTGTCGCTCGATTGAGTATCACTGGAATGCAATTCTGTCAAACGAGCAGAACATCCGCGCAATTTAATAATTTAACGTTAACATGGGTAAGCGAGACTTTATTATCGTTGTAATGGTACTTGACAACCGAGACTATCTTGTCAAAACTTCAAATACAGAGAACTAAATAATGTCACAGATAGGACGAAAAACCGAGCTTTCGAAATAAACATAGGCCGTAGCGCCGCTGTCCGGGCAAAATTTCCATCATAAGACATTGGATGGCGTACTCATGTCATCATTTTCCCGGTTGGTGCAGAAATGCAGGACGTTAAACCAAATTTCATTTCATTTCAGGTGGGTTGGGCGGCCGCCGAATGGATTGCACGTTTCCTACCACTGCTAAAGACCCCTACACGCAAGCTAATTATTGAAATAAAATTGAACCATATGTTAGTCCCGAAAAGACCTAGTTAAACCCCATTTCGCTCTCTCTCACACTTCATTTGAGTCTGTCCTTTTAAAAGACATTTTACATGGCGGCGTATGTTCTATATGGGTAGGGAGCCACGGTGGCTAGTTGGTTAAGACGCTGGCTCGCTAGCCTGGAGGTCGGGTGTTCGATCCCTGCATTGTCAGTGGTGCAGAACGGAGGGCCTGACAAGGACAGCTGTCTAGTCCTTCGGATGAGACGAAAAACCGAGGTCCCGTGTATATATTGGAATGCACGTAAAAGATCCCCTGGCAGTTGGAATTCGATATAAGAGTAGGCGATAGTGCCGCTGCCCGGGCAATATTTCCCTCATAGCACACTGTATGGCGATTGCCCGTCTTCATTAGCCCAGTATAGGAGCAGGACAGTAGGACGTTAATCCCCATTTCATTTCATTTCTATATGGGTAATATACAAAATTTGATTGGCAGTGTTAAAGCACGGGAGAAATTGCAATCCATGGTGTATCGACTTTATGGTGCATCTAAGATGGCTGCTACATGGGATAAAGAAGAGAATAGAAAAGACAGACGAGAAATTGTTTTTACTCACGAAAAACTCCGGTTGTAATAAAACATGGCTAAATTTAATAATTTATGACTTCTACAAGATTAAAAGACGAACAACGCCTTATTTGGCACATGATCTATAATTGTATACGGTTACCTATTTTTCTTACTTCTGTGGTTTCTGCAGACGCTAACATTCTATTTGGGTCGTCACTTAGATGATAATTATTTAGATACAGAGAATATTTTCGGCTGGTTGTCCCATGGGTTTAACGTTTGTTACATTTAACGCATATTATATATTGAACGGAAAGTTTCCAGCTTACCTGTTAAACTCGTGTTTTGTTGTATGTTGTTTTTGTTTTATTTTTGTTTTTTTTGTTGGTTTGTTTTGTGGGGATATTGCTGTGGTACTTTTGTTTTGTTTTTGTTGGTTTATATTGTGGGGAAATTGCTGTGGTACTTTTGTTTTTTGTTGGTTTGTTTTGTGGGGACATTGCTCTGGTACTTTTGTTTTATTTTTGTTGGTTTATTTTGTGGGGATATTGCTGTGGTACTTTTGTTTTTGTTTTTTGTTGGTTTATTTTGTGGGGATATTGCTGTGGTACTTTTGTGTTTGTTTTTTGTTGGTTTGTTTTGAGGGGATATTGCTGTGGTAATTTTGTTTTTTGTTGGTTTATATTGTGGGGATATTGCTGTGGTGGAGCTGAGGCACATTGAACGGAAAGTGTCCAGCTTACCTTCTTAAAGCAACTCTGCTGAATTTTGGGTGTCATGATAACTGTTCCCCCTAAATTGCCCGGGTCTACGTTATCAATATGATCTTTAAATGGTCTTGGACGATTTCCAACAAAAAAGAACTTGCTATGTTGTTTTGTCACCAAACGTAGCAGACATATTCTATTTCCACATCTACAAGTTTACCAACCCTTGAAGGATATACGTCCGTGCTTGTATCAGTGTCGCCTTTAGTCTCGAGCAAATTTGTTGGTTTATTTTGTGAGGACATTGTTTTGTTTTTGTTTTTTGGTTGGTTTATTTTGTGGAGATATTGCTGTGGTACTTTTGTTTTGTTTTTGTTTTTTTGTTGGTTTATGTTGTGGGGATATTGCTGTGGTACTTTTGTTTTTGTTTTTTGTTGGTTTATGTTGTTGGGATATTGCTGTGGTACTTTTGTTTTTGTTTTTTTGTTGGTTTATTTTGGGGGGGATATTGCTGTGGTACTTTTGTTTTTGTTTTTTGTTGGTTTATTTTGTGGGGACATTGTTGTGGTACTTTTGTTTTTGTTTTTTGTTGGTTTATTTTGTGGGGATATTGCTGTGGTACTTTTGTTTTTGTTTTTTGTTGGTTTATTATGTGGGGATATTGGTGTGGTAATTTTGTTTTGTTTTTGTTGGTTTATATTGTGGGGAAATTGCTGTGGTACTTTTGTTTTTTGTTGGTTTGTTTTGTGGGGACATTGCTCTGGTACTTTTGTTTTATTTTTGTTGGTTTATTTTGTGGGGATATTGCTGTGGTACTTTTGTTTTTGTTTTTTGTTGGTTTATTTTGTGGGGATATTGCTGTGGTATTTTTGTTTTTGTTTTTTGTTGGTTTGTTTTGAGGGGATATTGCTGTGGTAATTTTGTTTTTTGTTGGTTTATATTGTGGGGATATTGCTGTGGTGGAGCTGAGGCACATTGAACGGAAAGTGTCCAGCTTACCTTCTTAAAGCAACTCTGCTGAATTTTGGGTGTCATGATAACTGTTCCCCCTAAATTGCCCGGGTCTACGTTATCAATATGATCTTTAAATGGTCTTGGACGATTTCCAACAAAAAAGAACTTGCTATGTTGTTTTGTCACCAAACGTAGCAGACATATTCTATTTCCACATCTACAAGTTCACCAACCCTTGAAGGATATACGTCCGTGCTTGTATCAGTGTCGCCTTTAGTCTCGAGCAAATTGATTTTGACCAGGGTTGAAAATGTATAGACCCCCCCTCCCCCCGATACGCCATAAATAACTAAATGCGCCGCCAAACAGTACAGATGATAGGGAACCAGATTGTTTCTATCATTCCACAGAAATTGTATGCAATTCAACCCCGACACTACTACTACAAACCAAAATTTATCTTCCTGCACCCCAACCCTTCTCTTCATTCTAACATAGCCCAACCCTTTTTTGATCCTAACATAGCCCAACCGTTTTCTTGATCCTAACATTGTCTAACACTATTCTTAATCCTTGCATTGCCTAACCCTATTCCACACCTTCCAACACCCCAACCCTTGTTGCTACATGAGTAAAAGCCTTGTGGCGTTGCAATGAAATGGGGTTTAACGTCCTACTATACTCTACCAACCAGGAAAATGAAGATGGCCACATATCATGCAGTGAGGGACATTTTGCCTTACAGCAGTGTTTCCTGCATTGCATTATAACTGTCAAGTCAAGGGTTCTTTTATGTTCATGCCAACTTGTACCCGATTTCTTTTATGTTCATGCCAACTTGTACCCGATTTCTTTTATGGTCACGCCAACTTGTACCCGATTTCTTTTATGTTCACGCCAACTTGTACCCAATTTCTTTTATGTTCATGCTAACTTGTACCCGACTTCTGTGATGTTCATGCCAACTTGTACCCGATTTTTTTTATGTTCATGCCAACTTGTACCCGATTTCTTTTATGTTCATGCCAACTTGTACCCAGAACCTTGCTGTTTTCCCCATCCGAACAAATAGAAGATTTCACCAGGCCCTACTTCCTCCATCACTAACACGGGAAAGCCATGCTAATAAAATCCGGAGGTACTTTCTCGGCTGACACTGGGGTCGAACAACAGAAAAATGGGGTTTAACGTCCACTCGACACCAGCTAGGTATTTTCGAGACTAACATATTGATCAATTTTATTTCAATAATTTGCTTGCTCATAGGGATCTTTAGCAGTGGGAGAAAAACGTGCACTCGACACCAGCTAGGTATTTTCGAGACTAACATATTGATCAATTTTATTTCAATAATTTGCTTGCTCATAGGGATCTTTAGCAGTGGGAGAAAAACCGAGGACCCAGAGAAAAACCACAAGGTTGGACAGGTGACTCTACTCCTTGTCACGTTCAAGTGGGGAATCGAAACCATGCCACTTGACTAATAACGGATATATGCAATGTAGTGTGCTGAGGGAAATTTTGCCTAGACAGTAATTTAATTCCATCTGTCATGGGTTCTTTTACATGCAAGCCAAGGTGTACACAGGACCATTGTTTTTTGTCCCATCCAAATGACTAGACATTGTTCCTTGCCAGGTCTTCTGGGATTTTCTAAGTTGATCTGTCATTAGAATGAATGAATGAATGACACAGGGCTCAACATCCTACTGTTCTGCTCCATGCAAAATGGTACGAGGAAAATTTTGCCTGGACAGCAATTGAATTCTATCTCTCAAAGGTTCCTTTAGTCGTTCAGATGGGACGAGAAACTATGGTCCTGTGAAAACTGGAATTCGATATAAGAGTAGACTGTAGTGCCGCGGTCTGGACAAAATTTCCCTCACAGCACACTGTATGGCATATACCCATCTTCATTAGCCCAGTCAGAGCAGAACAGTAGGACGCTAATCCCATTTCATTTCAAAGGTTATTTTACATGCGCACCAAGGGACCTTCCATCTTGACAAAAGAAACACAAACAAGTCAATAACTATACAGGTTTTTTTTGTATTACAGACACTGTATTATAGTGCCTTGTTTTATTATTTATTTATTTTATACATACTGAACCTATTGTTTGCATATGAGTGATAAGATCATGTTAACTGTGACGAGAGGCTTCACATCAACACAAAACAACAATATACTCTACATACATAATACACACCTTGGCTACGTCTTATAATTCTTTAAATTCTTAAAATTAAAACTCATGAGCTGGCGGCGCTAGCGTGGAAATAATATATCAGTTAGAAATTTAACATCTTCTAAATCTTCTTATTATAATTATCAAATTCTTAAAACCCAGGAAATGATGAGAGAGCACAGGGATATATCAATTTGAATTTTAACATCATAATATAGGCCTACAAGAGTACTTTAAATTCTTAAATTTTGGAGTGGGGTGGAGGGTGGGTGGTAGTTGTGGGGGCGGGGGTGAATATCTCAACTGGAATTTTTTAACAAAATCTTAAATCTCTGTGAGAATATCTCAATCAGAATTTTAACATCATAATGTACAGGCTTAAATTCTGAATATGCTTGACATTTAACACAACCCAAACGATTGTGTTTCTTGGGAAATAATATGAAACTGGAGGATTCCAAAATTTTTAATATGATTGTCCGCTGCCATTTTTTCATTTTACAGCACATTTTTAAATGTATTTTAAACTCTTTGACATGTGAATCATTTTTTTTTTTCATTTTTTGCTCCAACAAAAATCTAATAGGAATTTCCCACCAATTAAACAGTTCTTCGTTATTGGTGTTTTTTTATGGGGGGACAGGGGTAGTCAAATTTTATACAGTATATTACCAGTATATTGTTTTTTTTAAAAGTAAACAATATTTTTTTCCTGTTTTTCTAAGAACAAAAGATGGTAGCCACTGTGTGAATATGAAACTGAATTATATAAAACAATAGTTTCAATCTTAATCAGATACAAAGTCGAGCTAGTTCAGACATTTATAAACAAATTCCCCCTATTCTTTACTATCTTTTTTTAGGGTAAATGTTACTAAAAGTGTGAGTTTAAAACTCAGTTCTCAACTTAAGATACCTTAAAATATTTTCAAAACTTAGTTTTTCTTCTAAAAATTTTGAACTTTCGTCCATAAATTCAAGATTTGTTTTTACAATTTGGATTTAATATGTCTCATTCAATTATTAAACTTTCTTCTATGGATTCAATAACATAAGTATAAAGGATATATAATTTCTTATCGAAGAATTATCCATATCTGAAGGTACCTGAAGAAAAGGTTTTTATACTTTAGGATATCTGAATAAGATCGAACTAACGTTTACATCAGGACCTAAATAAGCAAAAAAGCTCAAAATTTACCTAAAAATAGATATATGGCAAAACTAACTACAATAAAGTTGTCTAGGGCATGACTCCATCGTACTTTGGATTAATAAAAATTGCACCACAAAATAAAAATTCCACATAAAATTTACACGTTTCATATATAAATGGACTTTTTTTTCCACATACATTAATAACATATAAAGTGTCAATTCACATCTTAACCTAACAGCATTCATTTAAATAGCGTCGCAATACTTAAAACACGGAGGAGGAGAAATATTGCACTTAGTCCTTGGATTCAAAAAATAAATGAAATCTCGTATAATGGCGGGGAGAGAAAAAAATTGAGAATAATATCAAGTATTACAATAATAATAATGAGTATATTTGGCAAGTGATAAACCATGCTTCATTTTTCGACCCAATGTTTCAAATAATTTTTTCGAAGGGGAGAGGGGAGAACGCAGGACTAGCCTACTCTACTCACCCCACCACACCCCATATTCCTATTCAGGATTTGCATGAAAATCATTAACAATATAAGAATTTCAGTCTGATTAAGAAATACAGAATTTCTGAAACAAGTTTTCTATATTTCTGGAATGAAGACATGTTTTGTTTTTTTTGACTAGCATCAAGAATTATTTATCCTAAAAAATTTCAAAACTATTCATAGTGTACAAAGCAAGATGATTGATATCAAATTTTACATAATACTATTCTATCAATAAATTTTTTTTCTTAAATAAAATAAAAAAAATATGGCCTGAAACTGTATCTGACAATTTTTTGTTAAATAAAGAAAAACATAAAATGAATGAAGATGTGTGGCTAATCATAGCAACCCCTAACAACCATAGGGCCATGTTGACAACAACAGCTGATAAATTCTCACGGGCTCGAGTAGAAATCCACAATCTAACGTTATTAGCTATTGTTTCACAAGCTGAATCCTTCTCCGCTTTCCGAACAATTTCCACTTTCTCTTTCTATCCAAACAGTTCTTGATACAGATCCTGTTGTGACACACAACTTCGTTCGCAATAGTGACAAAACTCTCTATACATTGTCCGTGTAGTTGTCATGACAACACTATAAACACATAACATAATATATTGTTGGTTTTTAGCGATAGTTTACATAATGACTCGGGTTAAAAAAACAACACAAATGAGACTCTTTCTGCAACTGGATATTTTTCAATGCGCGAGAAAACAGGATTAAACAGACACAAGTCATCATCGTAATTACAAATTCCTCAATGATATATATATATATATATGTAAATATATAACAGCACTGTTGATTGGTTGGTGAAATAAAGAAGGAATCTTGACGAACGAATGCCGTGAGTCTGCGTTAGTTAATAATATGTTGTTTGCTAGCTACATGTCTATTAGTCCCGAGAAGACCACGAACAACGTACGATACATAAATTAGACTATATACAAGATATATAAAAGTCTGGCCACACCAGTGTCGTAATATCGATGAATAGTTTAGATTATTGCATGGACAAGGGTCGTCGCTAACGATGCCCTTAAAACACCACTAGAATTATATATATATATATTAATTTACTTGTCACATCTACCTTGTATTCAATTTAACCAATCATAAAAGACTTCCATCTTTTTTTGTTTTATCAAATTTATGAACCAATCATAGACTTTCACGTCAAATCTATTTTAGTTGAAATTTAATAACAATCGACAATCATTGGATGTATTAAAGATGGTGGACAAAATCAAATAATAATGGGACCTTCCCAGTAAAAGGTATTTTCGGCAACTTTTTTTAAAAGATTGCTCACAATAATATTTTTGTTTCAAGTAAATCAAAACTTAAAATCATCTAGTACAATTTGTATGTTTCCATTCCAGTCAAGTTAACGTATGCCTGTCTTCAGTAGCCTAGATGGAGCCGAAATGTAGGACCTTAAACACCATTTCAATCTGCAGATTGTGAATGGTTAAACTGAATACAGGTCCCATGTGACAGGAACACCCATATAAGGTGTGACGAGACATGACGCGACATCCAATAAATTAATAAATAACTTAACAAACAACAATAAATAATACAAAGATCTTATACCCTAATATGGTTATACATGTACCAGTCTTGATCTACCAGACACTTGATACAGCAAGCGGGTCGAGATCTGAAAGTGTTGGACAAATTTTGAAATAAATAGTTTCGGTGAAATGAAAAACATGCAAAAGCATTTCCGTGACGATTGAGACTAGATACAGCTCATAGCGATAACGAGCGTCATGTATAACCGAGATTTCAGTAAGATCACAGGAATATATTTCACCATATTATTATCCACTTATCAAGAGTCTGGTAAAACAAGACTAAGATGTTACAAGTCCTGTGGTGAAACTATGGCAATAATAAAATATCAAGAGCTGGTTGGATACGTGTTACAGGCATACAGGTCACATGACAGGACACATGACTCTCAGATCTTGGGTGAATAAATGAAATGAAAATAATAAAAATTAAAACGTTTTAGAAATTGTATAAATAAACATTTAATCAACATCTTAAAAGGACTGGAGTGAATAAAATTTTCCGACCTTTTGGAATGTTCTGGATGTATTGAGATCCTCCATTAACAATTTCACAAAAAATTATTTCCAAAAAAGGAATGTCAAATAAATACGTAAATAAATAAATTGAGTCAATTGGAATAAATACGAAGTAATTCATCAAAAATCAGATCCTTAAATTAAAATATCATCGAATACTTTGGAATGGATAAAAAGAGTAAAATAGCACTTAACAATTACACAGAAAATAAAAGTAAAATACTGAATAAAATAAGAGACAAAAGGCGCAAAAAACAAAAAAATAATCACAACATTAACAAACTCACACACGACCATAAAAGGACAGTCATTCCTTTCTATAAATGTGAAAAATATTGCACGAAATATTTGTACATGACATGATGACGCGATCGAGGTTATGTCGAGCCATTGTTCTAAATGTTTCAAATCTTTTCTAGTGAGCAATTTAGCAGTGATTTTTAAAACTTTCATTTCGATTTTGACAATTGGTTAGATAAGGCATCTAGGACAAGTGACTTTCAAAAAAAAAAAAAAAAATTACAACAAATAATATTTCAAGTTCAATGAATCTTTGATATTGAAATTTTCAAAACAACTAATTTCAAAATGGCCGAAATTTAACTTCTGCATGTTGCTCACTAGAAAAGCCTTAAATGGACATCAGATCGCGATAATTCAGGTCAAAGATCTCTATATGTATATATACAAACATCTATGATCTCTATATATATATATATATATATATATATATACACAGTGGTATACGATAAATAACATACTAAAATCTGACTAGCTGCTTTCTTCAAGGGTTTAAAAGATTCATTAAGATTTTAACGATTCACTACAAAAAGGGAAAAAAAATCGTCTTGATATGTCGGGCAAAAAATTCATAAATAATAACAAGTATTTCGGATGGATTTTACAATAATGAACACAAAATGATGAATATTTCTAAAACAGAATAAGTTAAACACTATCTACCACATCACTGTAGTTATCTTGACAAAATTATCAAGTCTTAAAATATTCATTTTTTGTAATAAATTGTGTTTAAATATTCCACAAGTAACATCTCCAAATAAATAGAAAATAACAATAATTCATGGTCTTTGACCAGTATAATTTAAATACATACTTCTCGGAATAATAAATAATACCTTCAAACACAAAAGAAAAACATTGTCAGAAAACATATTCTGTCAATGTAACAAATTTCAAACTTCATTTTTCAAAACAGTCCTTGATAATTATCAAAAACCTGAATAAATTAAGTTTTCACGACGTGAATTTTTTTATAAAATAAATTAAAAAATCATGGTAAATACATGAATTAACACACACTGTAACAATTAGAATATACAAAATGATGGGGAGCGGGGCGAGGTTTACACTGTAAACCAGATACATGTATAAATAAAACCCTTTTAGTCTTTTTTGTTTCGGTTTGCATCATACGCGATGAAGGATTGACAGTTTTATGATCCACAATGAATGTAAAACAGTATATATATGAGGTCTGTTGGTACGCGCGATCATATCCAACACGGAATATGGTTAACGTAAGAAACACGCTGAGAAACACACTCACGTTAACTCTTCGTACACGAAGATGCACTTTCACGATTATTGTTTCCGTTGTCGTCCTGCCACTTATCCAGCGATCGCCTTCGTGCGTTCATAAAGAAGTTCGCGACTGTCGTCACTTCTAGTCCAAGTTGTTGTGCTATGGTCGTCTGCATTTCTTTTGAAGGACGTTTTGTTTCCTTAAATATTGCATGTAGTGTTCTTCGCTGGATATCTGTGAAAACCAGACGAGGTTTTTTGGGTGATCTTTGATCCTCCGACGATTTGTCGGGTTCTTGTTCTTTTCGTTTGCAGGCTGGAAAAAAGGCAAAAGAATACATTTTATTTCTGGAATTGAATTGAGTGTATCGAATGTCTCGGCTAACGCAATGATTTAGTTATTTTGAGACTAACACATGGGAAAATCTGCAATATGAAAGCAGAGAGAGATGGGGTTTTATGTTCACCTAACACTAACCAGGTCAATTTGGGACTGACATGGAATATTTTTTAGTTCAATCTTTCAATTTAGATCATGGATTTTGCGAAGTGGGTAAAGCGGAGTAAACTGAGGAGAATTTGCGAATTATTTATCGTCCATGTTGATGGCGAAAGGATCATTTAAATGGTCATACCGAACCGGTCTTTAATTTGTAAATGAGAGAGAGAGAGAGAGAGAGAAATGGGGTTTAACGTCCACTCGACACAAACTAGGTCATTTCGGGACTAACATATGGTTTTTAATTTTATTTCAATAATTCGCTTGCGCGTAGGGGTCTTTAGCAGTGGGAGGAAACCGGAGGACCCGGAGAAAACCCACGAGGTTGGACAGCTGGGCTAATGAAGACAGGCATATGCCCTACAGTGTGCTGTGAGGGAAGTTTTGACAGAACAGCTGCGGTACGGCCTACTCTTATATAGAATTCAAACTGCCAAAGGATCTTTAACGTACACGCAAATGTGTACACAGGACCTCAGTTTTTTTTATCCCATCCGAACGACTAGACAGCTGTTCTTGTCAGTCTTGTGGCGGTATCTATGGAGAAATTAAATGAGAAAAAAGTGGCATTTCAATCGATATGGAGGATGCTAGATACTTTGGAAACAGGTTCCTGTAATGGGGCAGCGTGTTTCCCCAAGTGATGCAGCTCATATTGCTGCAGGGTGGGGATGAAGAAGGATTCCTTGTTGCAAAACTGAACTAGACTAACAGCGATGATATTAATGAAAGTGAGAAGCTAGTAGCATGTAATCTCTACATTGTACTACTCTATATAATAAAATATAAAGTCAAACAAAAAACCACAAAATAAAACAATAAAGTGCACCCAATAAGCCAAAAACCTGATTGCTGATATAAAGAATAAAAAAGGGTATGCTTCATCCTTATTTTTATCAGTAAACGAGGGTCTTCACTTCACTATCAAGATGATAATGGGATCAAATAATGACAACTGCGATAATTTTGTGCGTATGGTTGCGGATTTTGTCGAACACATAATAACAAATCTAAATATATATTCAATATTTATATCAAATTCTAGTTTATTTTGATATCATTCACTTAACTCAAAATGCTCTACAATCTGAGGGGTAGTGCTGCATAATGGAATAGCAGCTGTTCCATTTACTCCTAACTCACCTTGTGGGCTGGACTGGTTGCCATTGGGTGGTGACATGTGGAAAGGTTGAAAAGCTGTACCTGAAGTTGGACAAATCGAGTCTTTTAGTACATCGGCAATATTTTTTTACTTAATTCTTAGGCTTCTTGTTTGCCAAATTTTTGGTTGATGTCAGAGATTCGTTGGAATTTAGAGCTTAACATTTCCATTGTTAATAACTAATGGAATTGTGGTCTGGTTTTGTCCATACCCCTTTTTAAATGTCAAAAATTATAAAAGCAAATAAAATGAAATTTAAAAATGCTGTACAGTAAATTCTGGGCAATATTTTGGATTTAAATTAAATCATAAACACTTTGTATGTGAAAACTGCAGCAATGTTTAATAAAAAATATAAGAAAATTAAAATCAAAATCCTGTGCAAAATGAAATAGAAATGACTAACAGTCCTCTGCATGTCCAAAAACTTGGCGAGCCTTTTAAATATTTTAGTATTACTTAATAAATATCATTAAATTCATTTCAATGAATGTCTACAATATAAAAATAATATTTTTAAATATTTAGAACAGATCATAAGAATATAATATATTGATACATATATTTTGATAGAGAGAGAGAGAGAACACATTTGATATATTACAGAAGATGTTATATGATTTGTCAAGAAAGGATTTTTTTCATGCGAGAGGATTGAAAGATCATGCAAAAATTAGGATAAAAAAAAGCCTCATAAATGTTAACAATGATTTACATAGTATATAATAATAAAAAGCTTTTAAAATGTTAAAAATCTACATAAAATATAGCAACAAAGAGTAAATATATAATAATTACTGTGATATATAAGCTATGGCTGATGTATATACATGTATATCAACATACATGTATTATAATTATTATGAATAATTCAATGATGTCATATGATCCGTGACATAGATATCTTTTAAAATGATAACATCAGTTGAACAGATCCAAATGATAAATTTGATCAACAGTAATAGTTGATTCTTTCTTCACATCAGTGCCAACAAATAACAGAGTTCCCTCCCCTTCAAATAAACATGATTTTGATTCAGACTAAACACAAGACTCAATATGATAAAACACAAACGTCAACAGGTCCTCTCTCTAACAGATCTGTTTTTATATTTTTCTCTTAAAATATCATTAATACAGAAATATTTTCACTCTTTTAATTCTCATTTTAGAGTGAAGCTAAGAAAATAGGTATATGGAACTACATGTATTGTTTGGATATGAGCAAGTCCAGACAAGTATATGGTACTACGAGTCGATGCGGCCTCTAATAGAACTGTTATATTTGGTTCTCTTAGAAATCATTAATACAGAAATATTCTCACCCTTTTAATCCTGATTTTACACTAAATCTAAAGGTGAGAAAATAGGCATAAGGAACTAAATGCATTGTACAAATGTTGAGCAAGTCCAGACAAGTATATGGTACAATGATTCGATGCCATTGTTTATAAATAGAAAGCATAGACGATTTATTTCCACTCACTTCATAACATTCACGATTATTTCTGACAACTTAAAATTTTAATATAGGGATGATAAAAAAAAATGGTGAAATTTAAACGGCTGATTAAAATTGAAATAAACAAATCAGACCGTTTTTTTTTCTTTATATCATGGTGTCGGATACCTGCCAGCACCCTCTGCTACTCATAATCGTGCATCAAGGTAGCTAGACCAATGATGTTCCTCAGTTTAGGACTGGATCTACCAGTCTCTAACTAACCTGGAGAACAGTGGAGCTTGAGAGAAAAAGACGGAATTTCACTCCAAATGGTCAATATATTTATATGTACGTATGTATTTTTTTATTCACTACTCAAATTTCGTTCAAATTTCAAATGTCTCTGAAGTAATTTATCATGTATGACTATCGTATAACCAATTACAGTTACATGTTGATATCAGATTGTACACATGGTCATATATACGACTATCAACACAAAAAATCAAATGTAACATGATGAATAGCAAAAATATTTCTTTTTATCTTACAATTTTACCCAAGCGGAGAGATAACACATAAACATTAAAATAAAGCAATTTTACGGCAAAACCCACACAATTTAAATACAGCTCAACATAAATTTCACAATAGATCATATTTGTCATTTGGGATTATAAACACCCCCACACATTATTCTAACCCAGCCGATAAAAAAAAAAACGGCAAATAGTCAAAATAACAGATAAATGTTAACTAGGGTCATTCGGAACAAATACAATTTATTTTTTAATTTCAATTTGATAAAATGGTAATTAGTCTAAAACATCTACAAAAACTTATTTGAGTTAATGAGTTAATTTTGTCTTTTTTAAACATCATATTCAGTTGATTTATATAATTAAGATTCTCAAAATAATTGACCGATCTTGCTCAGAATGGCGGAAGGAGCATTTAGAAATTTAGAATGTTGATATATCATTGTTACACCTTTTAGTTCACTCCCAACTATTCAGCTGACCCTATATTATAAAAAACTATGAGACTTGAAAAAAAATTCATTTTATCAAATACATTTCTTTAAGGGTCACAATGTTCATATAACCCTAAATATTTTCCTAAAATCTGTAAAATGAATTGATCTATTTTTATATGCTATATAAATAACGACCAGTGGTATAATAATAACACAGTTATCAAATCGCCTATCAAATCATCCTCCGAGAAGGAAAAAAAAAAACGGTGCAAGAATTTTTCTCTGGAGATTAATTGCATTCTTATGAATAGCTTCTATTTGACAAGTATAAATTAGTTATAGCATTGGGCCTTCAGCTAAAACCATTTAGATGGGAGAAATGGTATGGTGTCCCTACATTAACTCTAGGTTGCTTTTTTTCCGTTTTGGATTGAAAACAAAGAGGGATGAATACCAGTTTTGCTGCTTTGGTTCATTTAATGAACCCCTTCTACTGGCTCTGGATACACAGCTGTCAACTTGGTCTCAACCGTTTCCCAGGCAACCAATTTTTGAATACAGCTCAAATAAAGCAAGATGGCCACCACCATAGAAAAACAACAAAAGAGCTAGTAGAGTTTCTCCTAATTAGGCAGTGTTATGGAAATGGAGAGAATATTGGAATTGACAAATGGAATAAAATGTCTTCCGTTTTTCTACAATTACCATATAATTTAATCACGAGTAATAAATGTAAATAGAAATTATTTAATGAGGTGTATACAGGTTATAATGTCTATCTGTTTATAGACGCTTGAGGATAAATAAAACCATTAATAACAAAACACAGAGTTCTATTCAAATAGAAGTTATCAAGGACATTTTAAATTTAATTTAAAAGGGGGAGGAGTTATGTGCTGGTGTGCTCCTCCAGCCTCCTCTCCCCTCTAATATCAAATATGGAAGTTAATGTATGAACAGTAAGTTTCTATATGAGATATTTAAAGGGGAATCAGTGTTGTGCCAGCTTGTTGCCCCCCCACCCTCCTCCCCAACTAAAATTAACAAATTATGAAGGTTAATTTTTGATGCACAAATGGTAAACTTATATATTGAGATAAAAATAAAAATTTGAAAATTAACAATTTTCTATATATTGGAAAAAGATCAGAAAATATAGTTTTTGTTCAAACCACGAAATTCTGTGATTATAAACCATGTAACAACTGTTTAGTCAACAATTCAAATAAATGGATAACAATACATTTTATTTTATTTTAATTTGAAGATAAAGAGTTAATAATGAAATAAAAGAAATAAAACCCCAAGTTGATGTCTATTTTCACGAGTCAACACTGGATGAACCTCTCTCTTGTTTGATCTATTGATTCAAGTTTGGTGGCAGAGAAGCGAAAAAAAAAAAAAAAAATGTTAAAAAGCAATCTATTAATGCAGTGTTTCTAAATATTAGCCGAACTTTAAAAGCAGATTGTCTCGTGGAATTGGACAATAATTAAACACAGAATCAATTAGACGAAAATCCTTTGTAGGAATCAGATGTCTTTAAACAAACTTCATTGGCTGTCAGATAATTTGCCGATAGTCCGCTGCGTGACATGAACAAGGTCCGTGGGCATTTAAACTGCGGGTAGAGTTTTGGCTTTACGTTAAGCGCTGAAGCCTACAGGCCTTGGTGGTGCCACGTGGCGAGACTCCCAGGGTTAAGACAATAGCAAACAACCTTTCTCGTCTTTCACTATTTGCACCCTTTCTTCGTGCTCATAGATTTATGGATTTCTTTTTTCCAATATACCAAAAGATGGAAGGATGCTTACGGAGAACTGCAATCAATAAGTGATTTCATTCATAGAAGGGGCAAAACTCTACAAATTCTGTTTGGACAGACTTTCACAAGTTCTGACCTCGCAGGCAATGAAAATAAACTGTGGTGTTCTGGTGAATGCTAACAGAGGGCTGAGAATCCTACAGCTGACGAATTTCTACGGGCTTTGCGTCAACTCCAATTGTTAAAAGAGTGCAAGAATAGAAACTGCTTGTCAATTGCAAACGCGTAAAATATCTAAGATGGTACTCGAGTGAGAATACTTGACAATATCGTCACAAGGAAATGTACTTGCTTGTTTTTCATCTGGGAATTATAGCCGGTAGTCACGGCAATATTTCTACAAATAAAATAATTCTAATTTTTACGGATGTATGGTCAATTTACACGCTACAAACACATCTTCAACCTTTGGTATCACTTTTCATTATTCCTATTCACAATTCATTTCTATTAAATATTCAGTACTATTTACAGCATTTACAACAATTACAATTTCCATGCATTTTTTGAATTAATATCTTGTTTTATATAAATTCCATTATCAAAATATATATTAATAGTTCTTCCAAAACCTTTTTTGTATATCTAAATCACAAAATGATATTACCCATTAATATTTGCGCTTTATAAACATTGTATTAGTTGACTTTATAACAGTTTAATATTACACGTATGTAACAGGTTATTAAATACACGCTGGTCGTTACTGTAATATTCTTTCTACTTTTAATGTTAATATGAGTCATTGACATACTTTCTACATTACAAAACTTTTATTTAAAGAGCACATTTGATT